TTCCATTCAAGAATTCAGAATTGCTAATGAGAAGTGGGATGTTAAAATAAGTTTTATTCCTTTGTTATCAAGCGTCCCCTTCCCACTCCTTATTCCTTTTGGACAAAATTATCTCAAAACCGTGGGTCTATTTTTTAAAAAATTCATATTTCTTGACATTTGATAGGCTTCTAATCTTTAGGGGGAATTTTCTTCTGGTTTTTTGATTATATGCCCCCACCGCCCTCTTTGTTCTTCCTGAATTTCTTTTAGAATCTTTTTTTTATATCTTTTTATCTAAGAGAGGAGGACCCTCAGCAAGCTAGATTGATAGTGACTGCAGCAGTGGGCTCCAGTGTGTCAGAGATGGTGAAGCCGGCACAGGACAGGACAGGGTTCAGATCTGCTGTTCACCGGGTCGTTATGAGTCGTATTTGACTCGATAGCACCTAACAGTAACACCGCCAATGTGTTTCACAGTATTACTTTCATTCATTTATTTGTGGAATTAATTCTAGGAAAAGGTCTTAATCTGAACTTTGATGTTGCTAATTTCTCCTTTCCTTATTATTTTATCCTAATTTTCTCCAGTGGGATCTGTTATACTACTATTGACTTTTCGCCTGTGGTGTAGAAGGATGGAGACTCTCCTGTGTGATTTTCTGCCTCTGAAAAACCCACAGGAGAGTCAGCTATGGGTCGCTTCTGACTTGATGACACAACAAAAACTGTATCTATATCTATGGGATCCTGAAGGTCTGGTGGGAAGATGGGACATTGCAGTCTCAGGGCACGTGGTTTGAATCTGCCAGCTGCTTCACTAGAGAAGGCTGGGCACTCTCCTCCCTTGTGATTGATGCCTCTGAACGCTCACTGAAAGGTCAACTGTGAATTGGTTCTGACTCAACAAAACAGCAATAAGCATGTAATAAGCAGGAGTGGCGTCCACTTCCTAAACAACATGCCTCTGGAAACTATGAATTTTGATAAATGTCGATAGTTGTAGAGGGGCTGTAAGACTTGTTCATAGGGTCGTTATGAGTCATGCTCGACTCGAAGGCAATCAACAACCACAACAACAACGTGGGTTATAATATACACACACATCATAGGGAATTGGGCTGTTAACCCACAAAAGATGCCTAGTTGACAATTATAATCCGTCGGCAGCTCCATGGAGGAAGATGGACAGTCTTCTCCCGGATAGTTTATAATCTCTCAAAACCTGTTAGAAGGACAGTTAGGAGTTGCTTGCCACTTGATGGCAGTGAGGAAGAGGGATATTCAAAGTGGAAGTAGTGTTGCTTACTCTTGATTATATAACTAATAGATTTCATTGTATATAATTCAAGATATGCAGAAAATGCAACTTGAAAAGAATCTGTAGTCCTGCAGCCTAGAGAGAACCATCAAGAGCATTCTTTGATCACTGCTTATATGTTTCTTTCCACCGTCATAGGCTTAATACATAGAGAGGAACTCTCTCTCTCTCTCTCTCTCTCTCACACACACACACACACACACACACACACACTGTCTCTTTCTCTCTCTGAAACAAGCAGCTTTACACAATGGATACATTATTTATAAACTACCTAGTAAATACTGTGACATTGATGTGTCAAATGCGAGAATGTTCATCCATGGTGGACAGTGTTTGGTGGAGCACTCCGATTAAAACAAGCTTGGAAACAGGAGTGGCATCCACTTCCATAATAACTTGCCTCTGGAATAGGGTAGCTATGAGTCGCCCACGACTCGACGGCACTTAACAACAACAACAACAACGTAAATACTAAAATAGAAAAAGAAAAGAAAAAAAACACATTTTTTTCCTTCTTTCCTGGCCAAGAGGATTTTTTGTCACTTTTTTATATTGTGGAAATTTTTGCATTAATATAAAAGTAGACATATTGGTGTAATGAAATTTCCTGTGTTTATGACCCAATTTCGGTAATGACAAATTTATAGCTAAGATTTTTTTTAATCCTCCATAATAATGCTGAATTAATTTTATCTATAAAAACATTGAATTCTATCCCCAAAAGTTTAAAAAGTCTTGGAAAAACAAAACACATAATCACAATGCCATTTCATGCCAAAATTATAATTTCTTAAATACTATTTACTTCAAGCCCAGAAGTCAGGAAAATAAGGAGACACTTTGCACTGGGAAAATCTGCAGTTAAGGACCTCTCCAAACTGTTGAGAAGTAATTATGTCAGTTTGAGGACTAATGTGTGTCTGATTCAGGCCATAGTCTTTCCAGACACTTGCTATGCATCTGAGAGCTGGACAATAAATAAGGATGATGGAAGAATTGACACCTTTGAGCTGTGGTGCACTGAATATCCCATGGATGGCAAAAAAACCCAAATATATCCTGGAGAGGATGCAGCCCGAGTGCTCTGTGGGCATGTTGCTAGGAGGGGCTTATTCTTTGGAGAAAGGTCATGCTGAGAAGGATGGAGGGTCAGCAGAGTAGAGGAAGACCCTCAACTGGGTGGATTGATGCAATGACTACTGCAGTAGGCTTTTGTGTGTCAGGAAGCGTGAGGATGGTACAGGATAGAGCAGGGTTCAGACTTGATGATACCTAAAAGCAACAACAATACCAATTACCAGTAATTATCTTAAACCATCAAAAAGCCAAAGGGTAAATCAATTTTCCTGATTATTTAAGGCTTTTTCCCCCCAATTTTATTTTATTATTTTGTGTGTGTGTACTGTCAAATCGGATCTGACTCGTACAGGAGGAGATTGCCCCTCCTTTTCCAGCAGAGCATCTGGTGGTGGATACAAACTGTACACCTCTGGGATTGCAGTGCAGTTTCTTGTCACTAGGCCACCCGAGCTCCCTGTATTATTTAAGTTTTTTTTTTTAAAAAAAAATAATGATTTAATGTCTGACATCAAATAACAGAATAAAAAAAATAATGATTTATCCGAATGAGAGTCCAAATTTACTCCCTTCAGTTTCTCCTCTGTCCCTGCCCTCCCGCCTCTATACAGGTTGTTTTAGAGTTTTTCCACATTCTGCAGTTTTTGGTCCATTGTTGTTATGTGCCAAGGCGGAACTGACTCCTAGCTGACCCTCCAGTGGGTTTTCAGAAGCAGTAAATCACATGGGAGGGTATTACCCATCTTCCTCTTGGGGAGCACCTGGTAGATTCAAACTGCATGCCTGTTGGTGGGCAGCAGATCTCCTTACACAGAGCTCCAAGTTTATGGCAGTTTCCGGGTTTTGTCAGAGGAGAACTGTGCTCCCAAAGGTTTTCAGTGGCTCTGACCTTCCAGAAAAAGATCACTTCTGGGTGGATTGAAGCCATTCATTTCTCAGTTAGTAGCTGAGCCTGTAATTGCCTGTGCCATCCAGGAACTCCACAGGTGCACTGAATTGCACTCAAAGGCAGATGTACTTACTTGATTACAGAGTACTAAAGCAACCGTGTAAACATTGCATGTGTGTCCACTTGGTGAGCATTGAACTTGGGAGGGATGAGAGACTCTGCCGCCTCCTGATTCCCGCTCACTTCCAGGTTTCACACTTCCCACACTTTACCGACATCTCTTCTGAGTGGTACTAGGGATATTGTAGCTGATGTTAGATGGATCTTAGCTGAAAGCAGGGAATACCAGAGGAATGTCTGTCGGTGTTTTCATTGACTATGCAAAGGCATTTGACTGTGTGGATCCTAACAAACTATGGCTGACTCTGAGAAGAATGGGAATCCCCGAACACTTGATCGTTCTAATGTGAAACCTGTACTTGGACCAGGAGGCAGTCATCAGAACAGAGCAAGGGAACACTGCATGGTTCAAAATTGGGAAGGGCGTACGCCAGGGATGCATCCTATTTCCATACCTTTTCAACCTATATGCAGAACAGATTATCCGGGAGGCTGGGCTCTATGAGGAGAAATGTGGGGTCAAGATTGGTGGACGATTTATCAACAATCTGCGATATGCAGATGACACAACCCTGCTTGCTGAAACTGAAGAGGACTGAAGCACCTGCTGCAGAAGGTCAAGGACTGCAGCCTCCAATATGGATTGAGGCTCAATGTCAAGAAGACAAAGATTCTCACCACTGGACCAGTTGGCAGCATCAGGATGGATGGTGAAGAGATTGAGATTGCACACAGCTTTAGTTTGCTTGGCTCCACAGTCAACAGTCTTGGCACCTGCAGCCAGGAAATTAAAAGGCACATTGCCATTGCTGTTAGGGACCTCTCCAAAGTGCTGAAGAGCAATGGTGTCTCTCTGGAGGTTAAGGTGCGTCTGATACAGGCCATGGTCTTCGCAATCACTTGTTATGCATCAGAGAGTTGGACAATGACCAAGGAGGATAGAAGGAGAATTGATGCCTTTGAGCTGTGGTGCTGGAGAAGAGTATTGAGAATACCATGGAATGCTAGGAAAACAAACAGATTTGTCCTGGAAAGGGTTAAACCGGGTAGCTCCTTGGGGGCAAGGATTCTGAGGCTCCGTCTAACATACTTTGGACATGTTGTGAGGAGAGACTGGTCCTTGGAGAAGGACATCATGCTTGGGAGGGTGGAGGGACAGCGCAGGAGAGGAAGACCCTATATGAGGTGGACTGATTCAGTGACTGGGATAATTGGGATGGTAGTGTCAGAGACAGTGCGATTGGCACAGGACAGAGCAGAGTTTAGGGCTGTTGTACATAGGGTCGCTATGAGTCACAAGCGACTCGACGGCACATAACAACAAAACAACAACTTCTGAGTGTGTGTCCTGCCTTCTGGACCCAGACCACTAGAAGACCCAGCAGTTCACTGGATCTTTAAGGATTTTTGTTTTGAACGTGTGAGATCTTGTGAACACCCTAGTTAATGCCAGAATGTAACATGTCTATGAGTTTTACCTAAGCGTCTGGTTTTACTAAAAGGGAAGGTGTTGCTACTAAAGTCATTGTTTTTAGTATAATCTTTGTTTGCCTCTGAAATCTTGGTCTAATGAGCTCTCTCATTGTGTCTCTCTTCTTCCCTCTCTTGTAGTCTGCTGCTTCGTGGTGCACAAGCGGTGCCATGAATTTGTCACCTTTTCCTGTCCTGGAGCTGACAAGGGTCCAGCCTCAGATGTAAGTAACAACCTTGCTCACCTATCTTTGATCACAGCAGATGCATCTTTTTGAGGTTGGGTACGTGAGTCCAGCTGAGACAGATACGCTACAGTGTTCTCATACCTCGGCATGCCCAGGTGGTATTTCCTGTGGCCTCTGAGACAGTTTCCATTTTAATGAGAACAAAGAATGTTTTGAGAGGGACTGTGACTGGATAGGAAACCATTTAGTGCCTGTTTGCTGTTTTCTATGAACTTTGATAAATGTCGATAGTTGTAGAGGGGCTTCAGACCTTTTGTTCATAAGGTCACTATGAGTCGTGCTCGACTTGAAGACAGTCAACACACACACACACACACACACACACACACACACACACGACTTCACTAAGTGTCTTGACTTTACAGCTTGGGCATGAAGAGTTGTTGTTAAGTGTCCTTTAGTTGGTTGATATAGGGACATATTTGGGTAGAATCCGGTCAGCAAAATGCAATTTCTCTGGTTTTAACCTTATACTTAATATTGAGGTCCAAGAAATAGGAACAAAAGACTTAATTCTACTACACTCCCTCCAAAGTCTAAAGTACTGCTGGTTGAATAGAAGAGGCTTACAAATAACACAAATAATTTTTATTTCAGTCATTATGAATTACTTTGAATTTAGATTGTTGTTATTGTTAGGTATCATTGAGTTGAGCACGATTGATATCAATCCTATGAACAAGCAATCTGAACCCTGTCCTATCTTGTGTCAGCCTCACATCTCTGAGACACTCAAACAAACCTATTCTGACAGTCACTGTGTCGTCAGTCCACCTAGTTGAGGGTCTTCCTCTCCATCGCTGTCTTTCCAAGCCTGATGTCCCCCCACCTTTCCATGCCTGATGTCCAATGAATAGCATCTCCTAGCAACATACTCAGAGTATGTGAGATGCAATTTCATCATCTTTGTCTTCAAGGAGCACTCTGGCTGCACCTTCTTCGAGACATACCTGTTTGTTCTTTTGGCCGTCCATGGGATATCCAGTACTCTTCTCCAGTCCCACAGTTCAAAGACATCAGTCTTTTTCCTTGTTATCCTTCCTTGTCTAGTTCTGTTAGGAAATATCTTTTCAAATGATCTTGCATTTATGATAATAGAAATTTCCTATCTAAGTAAAATTACTTAGGTTAAAAAAGAATAAACTGATTTAAAGAAAATGTTGAGTGATAAAACAAATGGCAGAAATCTTGGTGTGTATCTGTCTGAAGTTTGGAGTGCATTCTTGTCTGCCACGTGTAGCTTCTTTTTCCTTTCTGGAGATTAGATCTCTCGTTATCTCATTGCCTGTGAATCAGAGCTGCCCCTTCACTGGGTTTCCCAGACTGTAAATTGCACGGGAGAGGGATTGCCCTTCTTTGTCCCATGGAGTAGCTGGTGGATTCGAACTGTCAGCCAGGCTCGAGCTTTTGGTTAGCAGCTCCACCCCTTCAGGACTATGACATCCAAGCCTCCTCTCTCTCACTGTGTTGTTAGGTACCACTGACAGCATCTCGGGTTTCCAGAGGTAGTACATCACAAGGCAGGAAATTGCCCGTTTTTCTCCCAAGGAGCAGCTGATGAGTTCAAACTGCATCTTTTTGGGGTTGGCAGTGCAACACCTCACCACTCAGCCACCAGAGCTCTCTCATTATAGAGACTGAAAATACCTGATAACTGCTTTTCCATGGTTCCCTAGAAGCTGGTGACCAGGCATGTGAACAGTCTTATTCATGCGGTCTAAGATTGGTAGGGCACCTAGGAGAGAGAGACTTCCTTTTTCATAAGTGGGAGGCATCACTACCTTTATATCGTTTGGGGTGTCTTTGTGTGAGGAAACAATGCCTGGCATTGTGGCAGCCTCTCTGTGTCAACGAGGGAAGTCCTGCTGGCATCTTGTCACAATAGTTAGAAGAGTTGCCGGACCCTGAGTCATTGATGACACTGATGAGCTGCTGAGCCAGCTCTGAGTCATTCTGTCTCGAGAAGGGGAAGGAAATCCGTTCATCATGATCGAGTGTTAGTGTGTGTGTGTGTGTGTGTGTGTGTGTGTGTGTGTGTGTGTGTCTGTGTGTTCTTTCATGTGTTGTTCTGATCATCTGGATCCACCACTTTCTGCCCTGTACACCCTTCAGTTGCTCAGTCAAGATGCATTTAGCCAACCTTACCTGCAGTCCTACCCATCATCCTTAGTTCTCTAATTTTGTTCCTGGTTTACCTTTCTGGAATCTTCCCCACTGGACTTGTCCCCATTTCCAGTCCTGTTTTCAGCCACTTAGACTTGACAGCTGATCTCAGCCATTGTAGATTTTGAACTTGACTTTTAAGGCCTGACCTTGCGTGGAACTTCTTTGAAGCAAGTGGTGCCCACCCTCTGTTGACTTTCTTCAAGTGATCAACTGTCCTTTTGCCACAGATCAAGGACATACCTTTTGCTATGGCAACATGAACACTCTAAAGCTTCTGCTGCAGTGACTTTGTTTTGAAAGATGTGGTGTTTGGGGTGAAGAACTCCAAGCTTGAAGGAAGAACCAAAGTTCTTGTTGGCTTGGCTGCAGGGATGAGGGTGGGATGCTCTGTCATGTGCACCCAGACTAAACTCCCTGGCTCTTTTAATGCCATTCCTTCTCCTATCTCCAGGAAAATAGAGAAGTTTGGGTGGGACTATCCAGCCCTATTATGTAGCCTTAAATGCTTATGCAAACTAAGATTTGATGCTCAGTACATGCAGCCAAAAAAAAAGTGTTCCCCATATTTTTTCTGTATCTGCCGTCTCTTTCTGTGTGTAAAACAGAACTGGCTTATGTGAAAAGGGAACATTTTGTTCCCTGAAATGAAAAGCCCAAGGGAAGACCTCACTCCAGACATAGTAAATCAAGGTGCCTGAAAGAGGCCCTCAGGAATTGCATTACTCGAGCCAGCCTTTATCTGTCTCTGTTTTGTTTTCAGATGGGCTGTTGTTCTTCTGTAGCAGGATAATCGCTGTCACAACCCCAGTGAAAGGTCTAGAGTGTCAGTGGCTCATGGGTCGAATGTTGCCAGAAGGGCAGGCTGTGCTGATCATTCCACGTGCCTTCTCATCTCCAAGTCTGCTGCTTCTGGAGATAAGGACCTACATGCCTGCCTACCCTATGGTTTGAACGCAGAAGTGGTCCCCAGAGGAAGACTGTTGTTGTGTACTATTCAGCTGCAATCAACCCTTAACTGACCCTCTGGAAGGGTTTCCAGAGGCAGTTAATAGCACAGGAGGAGATGCCCCATTTTTCTCCCATGGAGCAGCCAGTGGCCTCGAACAACATGCCTTGGAAATTGTAGCGCAGCTTCTTGCCACTCGGTCACCAGAGCTCCAGAGGAAGACTAGAGGAGCAATTATTATATGTTGTTGTTGCTCATTGCTGTTGAGTTGAGCACGACTCTTAGTGACTGTATGAACAAAAGACCTGAACCTTGTTTTATAACTATCAATAGTTTCTCTAAGTTCATAGTTTCCAAAGGCATGTTGTTTAGGAAATGGATGCCACTCCTGCTTCCTAACCTGTCTTAACCTGGGAGCTCCACCAAACACTGTCCATCATGGGTAACCATTGTGACATTTGACACCCCAGTGGCACAGGGTTCAGCATCACAGCAATCCCAGGGTACCGCTGTATAGTGAATTGATAGACGAGTGCTGTACCACTTAGAAGAATGTTCCTCCAAAATATAACACCAACCAACAAAGGCCCTCCACCAGGTCCTGTTGACTCTAAACAAGAGGCTTAAATAAAAAATAATCAACCAAACATTATACGATTTATAATTTTTTGTTGTTGTCGTCATTATGTGCCATTGAGTCGCCTGTGACACAAAGCAACCCTATGTACTACAGCCCTTCTCTGTCCTGAGCCAGTCTCACTAAACCTGACACACCAACCCCCATTGCTCCAGTTACTGAATCAATCCATCTCATCTGGGTCGTCCTCTCCTGAGCTGTCCCTCCACCCTTCTGAGCATGATGTCCTTCTCCAAGGACTGGTCTCTCCTGGCCATGTGCCCAAAGTATGTGAGACAGAGCTTCAAAATTCTAGCCTCCAAAGAGAAACTTGGTTAAAATTATTGTGTAGTGGTTAAAATCACAGATGATGGAGCCGGGACTTCTGGCTTCAAATCTGTGTGACCCTGGGTAAGTTACTGAAATCATAGTGTCTTTAATTCCTCCACTGAAAAAGATAATATAGTAATAGTCTCTACCTCATTGAGGTTTTATGAAGATCAAATACATAAATAACTCCAAGTGGTGATGATGAGAATGCATGGTAGTGAGACAGGAAGAATGGATGTGGAGGAAGTCTGAAGAATGAATGCTTTATTTGCCTGACCTCTGGGGGTTCTTCCTAGGAGTTTGTAGATTTCATGAGAGGATTGGGACTTCTTTCTTGTTGCAGTAATTCATTACCTTCGGGAGAGGTATCGCAGGAAAGAGGTCTACAGCCAACATGCATAGAATTTGGCAGCTTAGCTGGAATGCTTCTGTTGCTGGACACTGTTCCAAGAAGGCTGTTTGGCACAAGGATGATGAATTGACCCAAACTGCTGACCTGGCTTAATTCGATTCATTGACCTTTTTCTACCTGTGGTTAGCGACATGATTAAAGACTTGGCCACACCTGCTCCTCAACCTGTCCAGGCTCTCTTTTGACGGCCCTGAGGCTCATGCAGGTATGGGGGCTGGCCTTCTCCTCTGTGACCTTGACGGAGCTGGTGTGCAGCAAGTTCATGGAGTAGGAAAACAGAGCTTCTGGGGATGATGAAAAACCATGGTAGGTTTCCTCCTTTACTGTTTCTTGTTCCAAAGCCCATCAGAACTAGTAACTGCTCTGGATATTAGTGTAAGTCTGTGTGGTTGGTACAGATTTGTATAGGAGATTAGTAGAACTCTGTGTAGTTGGTACAGATCAGTATGGAATATTAGTGGAACTCTGTGTGGTAAGCATCATTCTGTAAATTGGTATCCATTGAA